TCGGGGATTCACTTCAGATAAATGAGTGGAAATTGCACTTGATCTTTAATTTAACTTATATGAAAATCAACTAAGGAGTGATCTCATATGGAAGATAAAACATTGATCACAAATATATTAAAAGATAGATCTTGATAATTGTTTGAGAGAATATGTCAAAATAAGTTGTTGGAATGTAGAGATTATCTAAGCATTTATTGTGCCAAAATTGTCAACAATAAATCAAAGTCTTTAATAAACCAAAACCATTTGTAGAACATATACTTCAACCGTGTAAGAAGATGAACATTGAAGAACAAAATGAAAGATCAAAGACAATACTAAACATTCATCAAAGTTTCACCCTTAGCTCTAGCTAAATGTTTAGAAATACATAGTGAAATGTTACAAAGAAAATGAAGAAAACTAGAATATAATGGAGAGGATTTGATTCTTCAAAATCGTGGCCAAGGTCCCCTTTTATAGGCAAAGGAACATCCATAATTCAAGTAGGCAATACAACTTGTTTCTGTCCAGCTTCAAGACAGCTGGAACATGCAACTTGATGCCAATTTTCAGATATATTGTGCAGCGAATTTGGACTTATGATCAACAGATAAATTATTTCCACCTGAGTTAGCTTTCCATTGGTTTAAATATCAGGTTCATTGGATCTATATAACTCCAGATATGACAAAAACAATAAGTGCTGCTTCACAGGTAAAGCTGTATCCGGCAGGTAACAAGCTGGACTTTACACGGTAATTTTGGCTACTTTGTGATACGAATTTGACTTCTTCCAAAAAATGAAAGTTGTATAAAAGTGCCTTGTCTTTCCAACCCAACTTGAATCACCTCGATCTAATGTCTGAAGCTCAAGTTATGATTATTTTACCAACAGCTGCTTCTTGCTTGAGGCAGTCACTATTTTTGACTTTTCAACATTATTTTCCTCCACTTGTAATAAATTGGAAATACATGTGAAATACATCAAATAGATACTCTTTCAAATGTATAATACTCATGCCACCATGTATGTAAATACGTATTTCAATTAATTGCATTTTAAACCATGTATTTATGAAAATTGAATTTACGGCAAGAGAATTGAAATTAGAGACTAACATTAGTGTTTTCAAACAAAGTGAATGTAAAATGTCTTGTAAATGATATATCTTTGAAGCACTTTTAGACACTAATCAAACACGTTGTTTGACACTTGCATTGTTGTCAAGTGTCAATAGGATGGGAAAACTATTTGAAGTTAAGCTGTCCAACAGGCTAATGTCACGTCACAAAGTTTAAACTAAAGTGTACACTGTAATGTACGTGTAGGAAGGTCCTTACCGATTGAAATTGCAATTTGTTCGCTGATTTTTGACTCATTGTTTGACACTTGCACAGTTGTCTTGTGTCAATAGGATGGGAAAACTATTTGAAATTTAAACTATCCAACAGGGTAGTGTCAGGTGGTAAAGTTTAACCTAAAGTGTAGTGTACATGTAGCAAGCTCCTTACCAATTGAACACTGCAGTTGTACGCTGTTTTTTCACACTTTTTTTACCCTTGCATTGCTGTCAGGTGTCAATTGGATGAGAAAACTATTTAAAATTTAAATTGTCCAGTAGGGTAGTGTCACATGGCAAAGTGTAAACAAAAGTGTACACCATAGTGTACATGTAGCAAGGTTCTTACCAATTGAACTTTGTTATTTATACACTGATTTTTGACACGTTGTTTGACACTTGCATTGTTGTCAAGTGTCAATTGGTAGGGAAAACTGATATTTGTACAATGATTTTTGACACGTTGTTTGACACTTGCATTGTTGTCAAGTGTCAATTGGATGGGAAAATTGCTATTTGTACACTCATTTTTTACACGTTGTTTGACACTTGCATTGTTGTCAACAGTCAATTGGATGGGAAAACAGTTTGAAATTTAAACTGCCCTAAAGGGTAATGTGACGTGACAATGTGTAAACTAAAGTGTACGCCATAGTGTACATGTAGAAAGGTTTTTACCGATTGAACTTTGCTATTTGTATGCTGATTTTTAACACGTTGTTTGACACTTATGTTGTTGTCAAGTGTCAATTGGATGGGAAAATTGCTATTTGTACACTAATTTTTTGACACGTTGTTTGACACTGGCACTGTTGTCAAGTTTCAATTGGAAGGAAAAATGTTTGAAATTTAAACTGTCCAATAGGGTATTATCACGTGGCAAAGTGTAAATTAAAGTGTACACCATAGTGTACATGCAGCAAGGTCCTTACAAATCGAACTTTGCTATTTATACATAGATTTTCGACACGTTTGACACTTGCATTGTTGTCAAGTGTCAATTGGATTGGAAAACTGTCCAAAATTTAAACTGCCCAACAGGGTAATGTGATGTGGCAAAGTGTAAGCTAAAGTGTACGCCATAGTGTACATGTAGAAAGGTCTTTCCTGATTGGACTTTGCTATTTGTACACTGATTTTTAACATGTTGTTTGATACTTGCATTGTTGTCAAGTGTCAATAGGATGGGAAAATTGTTTGAAATTGAACTGTCCAACAGGCTAATGTCACGTGGCAAAGTTTAAACTAAATTGTACACCGTAATGTACATGTAGGAAGGTCCCTACCGATTGAACAATGCAATTTTTTCCCTGATTTTTGAAACTTGCGTTGTTGTCAAGTTTTAATTCGATGGGAAAACTGTTTGAAATTTAAACTGTCCAATAGGGCAGTGTCACGTGGTAAAGTTTAAACTAAAGTGTACACCGTAGTGTAAATGTAGCTAGGTCCTTGCCGATTAAACATTCCAATTTGTATGCTGATTTTTAACGCATTTTTTGACACTTGCATTGTTGTCAAGTGTCAATTAGATGGAAAAACTTTTTGAGATTTAAACTGTCCAACAGGGTAGTGTCACGTGGTATAGTGTACATGTAGTAAGGTGCTTACCAATTGAACATTGTTATTTATACACTGATTTTGGACACGTTGTTTGGCACTTGCATTGTTGTCAAGTATCAATTGGATGGGAAAACTGCTATTTGTTCACTTATTTTTAACACTTTGTTTGACAATTCCATTGTTGTCAAGTGTCAATTGGATGGGAAACCTGCTATTTGTACACTCATTTTTCATTCTTTGTTTGACACTTGCATTGCTGTCAAGTGTCAATTGGATGGGAGAACTATTTGAAATTTAAACTGTCTAAAAGGGTAATGTCACATGGTATAGTGGAAGCCAAAGTGTACATCACAGTGTACATGTAGCAAGGTTCTTACCGATTGAACTTTGCAATTTGTACACTGAGTTTTGACACGCTGTCTGACACTAAATTTGTTGTCAAGTGTCAATTGGATGGGAAAATTGCTATTTGTACACTGATTTTTGACACATTGTTTGACACTTGCACTGTTGTCAAGTTTCAATTGGATGGGAAAACTATTTGAAATTTAAACTATTTAACGAGGTAACATCATATGGCAAAGTGTAAACTAAAGTGTACAACATAGTGTACATATAGCAAGGTTCTTAATTATTGGACTTTGCTGTTTATACATTGATTTTTGACACGTTGTTTGACACAAGCATTGCTGTCAGGTGTCAATTGGATGGGAAAACTATTTGAAATTTAAACTGTCCAGCGTGGAAATATAACGTGGCAAAGTATAAACTAAAGTGTAAGCTATAGTGTACATGTAGAAAGGTCCTTACCGATTGTACTTTGCTTTTTGTACACTGATTTTTGACACATTGTTGGACACTTGCATTGTTGTCAAATGTCAATTGGATGGGAAAATTGTTTGAAATTTAAACTGTCCAACAAGGTAACGTCATGTGGCAAAGTGTAAACTAAAGTGTCAAACATAGTGTACATGTTGCAAGGTCCTTACTGATTGAACATTGCTATTTGTACACTGATTTTTGACACGTTGCTTGGTACTTGCATTGTTGTCAAGTGTCAATTGGATGGAAAAATTGTTTGAAATTTAAACTGTTTAACGAGGTAATGTCACATGGCAAAGTGTAAATTAAAGTGTACACTATAGTGTACATGTAGCAAGGTTCTTACTGATTGAAATTTGCTATTTGTACACTGATTTTTGACACGTTGTTTGACACTTGCATTGTTGTCAAGTGACAATTGGATGGGAAAACTATTTGAAATTTAAACTGTCCAGCAAGGCAATGTCACGTGGCAAAGTGTAAAC